GGTACCTAGATGAAACGAGAGAGGTGTGCACCGGGTTGAATAGGAAGGGATGAAGGGATGAGGGGAGAGGGATGAAGGATGAGGGATAGGTGGGTTGAGCAATCAGAAACAAACGAGGCCGGCTGAATAGCATGAGTATAGATAGACTTGTCAGGTGATTACAGGTGTGGTATAGGCGTGGCCCTGCTCCCGAACCTAAGTTAATTAGTTTCACCTCACAAAAAAGTGTCTAGTTGAGGTCCCTTGTCATGATTCAGATAATGTTCGAGGCTCAAAGAGGTACAATTATCCAATGTTTCTTTCTTCTGCCATTAATCATCTCATGACTACCCCAGATCTCTTTTATAAACCCTTGGAGGAGCCTGACCACTACTTCAACAAAACTAGCTAACTGTATATAAAGTAGTTAAAACGACCTCCAAATGCTACTTACACACTGATGCGTCATTATTAATGTAACGTTAAGTGTATCATATGATACATGAGTTTTAGAGACTTTTTTCCACCCAAAAAACCTGAGGTATACAATCAAATACGTGCAATACACGGATAATCCACCAGGGGGGTGAAATTCATCCACCATAGATCCTTCAACTAAGTTGTAAATCAGTGACCTGCAGGTGGTTTTGCAAGGAAACTTTTGCCAATTTTGAAGGAGTTAAGGTGAGAAAAACATTCAAATTGTTTTGGATACTTCAATATGAATATTTACTGTTTGAAGCAATGTATAGTTACTTAAAATTTCATAACTTATTTTATAGTAAAATCGTGTTGAAAATCCATAATTTCGTATATTTAGAGAAGATAGAGAAATTTTGTAGCCTATAATGTATTTTCCTGCTGTATCGAGATGCTAAATGTCTAATTTGTTACGGGTGTGGTGTGTGGACAGAGAGGACCCAAATGCAGCGTTCAGAGGGAAGGAGGTTTATTGGGGGAAAAAGGGTGAGAGGGACTGGAGTGGAGGGAGAGTAGGACGTCGGGGAAGTACTGGCACGGGGAACCAAGGAGAACGGGGGCCAGGGAGCCGGGGAACACGGGCCAAGGAAGCGAGGAGAGGCAGGGGAACAGGGAGGACGCCGAGAGGGAGGTCCGAAGGGGAGTGGGCCAGTGGATGAGCCCAGCCGAGCGGAGGACGAGGGTGAGTGTACCTGGGAGGGAAACAAACAGAGAGACAAGGTTAGGGGGAGACAATGACAAGGCACAGGGTAAGTTTGAAAAAACAAGAAACGAGGCACCAGGTATGGAGCAACGGCGATCAAGCAAGGATGGTGTGGAGAACCGGGGTTGAAATACAGGCTGGGATGAGGTTGATTACTGGCAGGTGTGGCAGGCTGACGAGGTGGATGATGGGTTGCAGGTGCAGGTAGTTGGCTGGGCTCAGGAGCAGAGGGAGAGAGAGCACACGGGGGAGAAAACACAGAGGCGGGCAGAGAACAGGAAACCGAGGGAAAAAGCAGAAAAACTGATAAAAAGTAGAAAAAACCAGGACACTCACCGTCAGCCGGGCTGCCACCACAACAGGGCCCCCTCCTCAATGGACGCCTCCCGGCGGCCTTCCTATAGGACAGGGGGTTTGGCAGGTGAACACGGGGGGGAAGATGTACTGGGGTCCGGCTGATGGGGGTCCAGGGTCCAAAACCAAATTGGGAATTCAGGGAGGGCTTCAGGACAGGGAAGGGTTAGGGGAACGGGCAGGGCGGAACTGAAAACTCAGGGCTAGACAGGGTGCCAGAGGGCAGCGCTGGGGGACCAGGGGGTTCGGGCGGACGTCCCGAGGGCGGAACAGAGGGACCAAGGGGTTCAGGGGGGCCGGGTTGGTCCGACGGGCAGCCCGAGGGCGGACAGGGGGAGCCATGAGGGTCCGGCGGAACAGGGGAGCCCGAGGGCGGACCAGGGGAGCCATGAGGGTCCGGCGGGCGGCCCGAGAGCGGACCAGGAGAGTCCGGCGGGCGGACCAGGAGAGTCCGGCGGGCGGCCCGAGGGCGGACCAGGAGAGTCCGGCGGGCGGCCCGAGGGACGGGCTAGGGGGTGAGACGACCTCTCCAGAGGCCGGGGAGCCGGGCAGGGAGCCGGGCGTGGCGACCTCACCAGAGGCCGGGGAGCCGGGCGTGGCGGCCTCTCCAGAGGCTGGGGAGCAAGGCGAGACAAGCCAGAGAGTTCGGGCGGGCGGCCCGAGGGACGGGCTAGGGGGCGAGACGGCCTCTCCTGAAGCCGGGGAGCCGGGCGTGGCGGCCTCTCCAGAGGCCGGGGAGCCGGGCGTGGCGGCCTCTCCAGAGGCCGGGGAGCCGGGCGTGGCGGCCTCTCCAGAGGCCGGGGAGCCGGGCGTGGCGGCCTCTCCAGAGGCCGGGGAGCCGGCGGCCTCTCCAGAGGCCGGGGAGCCGGGCATGGCGGCCTCTCCAGAGGCCGGGGAGCCGGGCGAGACAAGCCAGAGAGTTCGGGCGGGCGGCCCGAGGGGCGGGCTAGGGGGCGAGGCCGGGGAGCCGGGCGTGGCGGCCTCTCCAGAGGCCGGGGAGCCGGGCGTGGCGGGCGGCCCGGGGGACGGGCTGCCGGAGAGTTTGGACGGGCGGCCCGGGGGACGGGCTGCCGGAGAGTTTGGACGGGCGGCCCGGGGGACGGGCTAGGGGGCGAGACGACCTCTCCAGAGGCCGGGGAGCCGGGCGTGGCGGCCTCTCCAGAGGCCGGGGAGCCGGGCGTGGGGCTGGCAGCGCGACAGCAGCGGGGGGAGTCAGGGATGAGGCTGCTGGGCTGAGGGCCTCGGTGCGAGGAACAGGGGTCGGCCGGACCACCGGCGGGGCTGAGGCCGGTCCGTCCGCCAACAGAACACGAGGAACAGGGGTCGGCCGGACCACCGGCGGGGCTGAGGCCGGTCCGTCCGCCAACAGAACACGAGGAGCAGGGGTCGGCCGGACCACCGGCGGGGCTGAGGCCGGTCCGTCCGCCAACAGAACACGAGGAGCAGGGGTCGGCCGGACCACCGGCGGGGCTGAGGCCGGTCCGTCCGCCAACAGAACACGAGGAGCAGGGGTCGGCCGGACCACCGGCGGGGCTGAGGCCGGTCCGTCCGCCAACAGAACACGAGGAACAGGGGTCGGCCGGACCACCGGCGGGGCTGAAGCCGGTCCTTCCGCCAACAGAACACGGGGAACAGGGGTCGGCCGGACCACCGGCGGGGCTGAAGCCGGTCCGTCCGCCAACAGAACACGAGGAGCAGGGGTCGGCCGGACCACCGGCGGGGCTGAAGCCGGTCCGTCCGCCAACAGAGCACGGGGAATTGTGGCCCTAAGGGGCGAGGGACCGGGGGGACCAGGCTCGAGGCTGGCGGCGCTAGCAGGTTGGGGATCAGGGTCAGGCTGGGGGCTAGCGGCGCTAGCAGGCTGAGGGACTGGACCAGGCTGGGGGCTAACTGGCTGGGGATCTAGGGAGAGTGGTGCTAATTGGCGGGAGCCGTGATGGCCACGTCTCCTCCGATGGCCACCACGGCCCCCAGAGAAGACGGCCAGGCGGGTTCCCTCGAACTGAAGACGGGGGTCAAGCGTGGTGTCGGGCGAACACGGAGAACAACCGGCGGGCCGGGGAACGCTCGGGACAGGCTGGTGGCTAGCAAGCTGGGGATCTGGACCAAACTGGGGGCAAACTAGCTGGGGGTCAGGGCTGAGGTGGGGGCTAGCAGGCCGAGGGACAGGCTGGGGGCTAGCGGCTGGGGTCTGGCTACACAGGGAAATGCTTCCCAGCCTGCAACTAGCGGGTTGGATAGGAGACCACCGAGGGCAAGCGGGGAGATGGAAAAATCCGGCCAGCCACTCTGGGACGGCGTCTCTCAGCCAAGGCCTCTGAGAAACTTTTACCTGGCCAAAGGTCAAAAGCGCCAGCTTGTAGCCCGTGTGGGTCGAGCCCCTCCACTTCTCCTCCAACTCCAACAGCTCCTTGCATAGCTGACTAGCTTCCTCCTGATGGGCGGCTGCTGGGTCCATAGTTGGCTTGATCGTTCTGTTACGGGGTGTGGTGTGTGGACAGAGAGGACCCAAATGCAGCGTTCAGAGGGAAGGAGGTTTATTGGGGGAAAAAGGGTGAGAGGGACTGGAGTGGAGGGAGAGTAGGACGTCGGGGAAGTACTGGCACGGGGAACCAAGGAGAACGGGGGCCAGGGAGCCGGGGAACACGGGCCAAGGAAGCGAGGAGAGGCAGGGGAACAGGGAGGACGCCGAGAGGGAGGTCCGAAGGGGAGTGGGCCAGTGGATGAGCCCAGCCGAGCGGAGGACGAGGGTGAGTGTACCTGGGAGGGAAACAAACAGAGAGACAAGGTTAGGGGGAGACAATGACAAGGCACAGGGTAAGTTTGAAAAAACAAGAAACGAGGAAGCCTGAACACAGGAGTGGCACCAGGTATGGAGCAACGGCGATCAAGCAAGGATGGTGTGGAGAACCGGGGTTGAAATACAGGCTGGGATGAGGTTGATTACTGGCAGGTGTGGCAGGCTGACGAGGTGGATGATGGGTTGCAGGTGCAGGTAGTTGGCTGGGCTCAGGAGCAGAGGGAGAGAGAGCACACGGGGGAGAAAACACAGAGAGGCGGGCAGAGAACAGGAAACCGAGGGAAAAAGCAGAAAAACTGATAAAAAGTAGAAAAAACCAGGACACTCACCGTCAGCCGGGCTGCCACCACAACATAATTGGATGTTTCCATAACTCACTTCATAATAATTGTCTTTTGGTCATTGATTTTTCATCAAGATTGACCAATTCAGAGGAGAAATACAAAGTAAATTGTGTTTGGTTTGTATTTTATAAATGGCAAAAAAGTACAGCATTGATGATATCCTGATTATGGGTGGCAATTCAAGTGACATGGAGCAGTTAGGGGAAGATGATGAGGCTGATTAAAATATGTTGTGTTCTGCATGTTTTTTGTTGTTTTAAAAAACATGACGTGGGAAAAACATTACAATAAAGTCTGAATGTATCAAATATGATACAAAACAAAACTTAGACATGCAAAGGGCTATTAATTTTTTTTTATTTGGCATTAGGTATAATAACCACTCCATATTCAAAACCTTTGAATTTTCTGGCAGTTGTTTGATAGTTCAGGCTTTACAGGGTTAATTTCATAATGTTGTATATTGTACTTCTGTACTTTTAGTTAAATAGTTATCCATTACTTTTACTTGTAATGGAATATTTTTTACATTGAATAAAACATGTGGGCTTTTTGTGCATTGTAGTTAATGACTCACAGTGTTAGTGAACAACCTGATTTTCCCATTAAAATTGATTATTTGATTGATTTGCTGTCAACATACCACTAAGCAGAAGATGTGTCACTGCTCCAGCTACTGAAACCTGCCTTTAAAGTGATTAGTTTTTATTCTTTGACTGGAGTATACAGACATGGAACATCTCAGTTTATCAATCTAAAGCAAATAACTGATAAAAAATCGTACACTGACAAACTAATTGACCACCCATTATCCTAACTGTCTCTGTTTAAATGAAAGAGGGGTACTGCCTCCTTTTGGTGGAAATATAAAATCACACCTTTTATTTTTATTGATTTTATTGAACAAATGTCTCACTTCTGTGTAGAAAGTAATTACTATAAAATGTAGTGGAGTAGAAGTATAAAGTAGCATATGTTGGAAATGCTCAAATAAAGTACACATACATCAAAATTGTACTTAAACACAGTAACTAAGTAAATGTACTTAGTTACATTCCACCACTGGGCTTATGTTGGCTAATTTTAAACATCAGATAGGTATTGTAGGTATAGGTATAGGTATCTCAGAAACTATGGTCAAATAAAGAGCATTACTACACAGAACCTTAGATAACATTTAATTTAAAGAGAGGGAGAGGTCATTGTGTGTTCATCTAAAAACTGGTACCACTGGCAATTGAGGTAGGCAGACATAAAGGTATTCCTGAAGAGCAGGGTTGTTGAGGATGTGCAGTGATGTGAGAAATCTTATCTGTTCTGTTCTGTTTGAAAAAGTTCACTTGAAGAACCCAGATTTGTTTCAGTTGCCTGAAGGTGATTGTTGCTGTCACACAAATCAGTCAATCAATCACTCAACAAACTTAAATTGTGTATCAGGGCCATTGTAAAATAAAATAAATAAATAAATAAAAAAGAAGCCAGGGGGTAATATTCGGAGAATAAAGTTTTAAATTTACAAGGGAAAAAAAAAACTAATCATTATTTTCAGTCATTAATAAAACAAGGCAAGTGTCAGTGCAGACATAAGAGACGAGATGGAGCTTTCAGACAGTTAACCAGATATGAGGGACATCTGCATGGCCTGCATGCTTTCAATACAGTACGGAGACACTAACAACAAGTATTTCTAAAAAAAAAAAAATAGTATTTTCAAAAAACCTTTCTCATACATTTTGTAACTTTCAGACATTAATCTTGTTTTTTTCCCTGAATATTACCTTTCTCCCCCACTTCCGTAGTTCATTTTTTTTATATCTACAATGGCCTTAACACGGCCTAGAACAATGATGTAAAATGTACAATGTATATAATGTATAACTAAACCAACATCAAGTGAATTAATTAAGACTTAATTGCTTTACAGGTGAAGAAGCAGTTTTTGATTAGGTTTCTGTGCAGATCTGTAGATAAATATTGAACCTAAAATATATTTCTTTTGTCCTGTTCAAATGTAGATTACATTTTCTAGATTACATTTTTGGTTTTATAAAAAAAACTATATGACATCATGCATTGGTTCTGTTTTTCATACTTGTTGCTAGTGCAGTGGTTCTCAAACTGTGTGGGTTATTAGTATCCATTATTAGATTGCTAGCTTCCCCTATACAAGTCATGCAAGTCAAGTAGATTTTGCTGTGCAGACTGATTTCAGTTCTTTTGACCGGCTCAGGTTTGTTGGTCTTTGTCCATGTTGAATAGTTGTTATATATAGTTTTTGGTGTGTATGACAATACAATTCTTGCAGTAAGAATTACAGGCAAGGAGCCAGCATTTATTGTTGACTTTTTCCCAAAATGTGCGGTATTCAATATATTTGCTAAAGAGTGGTATGTCTCGTATATGCTGCATTAGTTTTGTCCTACAGACATGTAGTTTTGATGTGAGACAGCAAGCGTATCCACAAAATGACATGTTCCACTTTGTAGTCTAATTTCAGGTTTTTAACTGGCTGTTGGTCTCAGTCTGTGGTGAGAGCTCTTGTATCAGTATTTCTTTTAGCTTTAGTGAAAAAAACTATACATCACTTGCTCTTACAGTCATTATTTCTATCTACAATTCATCTAGAAAACCCATATATATGCACATATAACATGTAGAACGGGGTTTTTAATCTGGTGATTTTGACTCTTTAACGTGGTAAAACATTAACGTGAAAAAAATTGGAAATGAATCTTGTGACACTGTCTTAAGGAACCCCGGCATGCACAGCACCCATTTACTTTGGGAACCACTGTTTTATACAAGAGACATTTATTCTTCTATCTGTGACAGATAAACAGAGGATGCTAACCGTCTAGATTCAGTCTTAAACTCACGCATTTTTCCAAACCCAAATGCAGGGTAGAGAGGTTCAGTGAATGTGGAGTGGAAGGTGTGGAGGTGGATCTTTTTGACTGAGGAGACTGTGAAGGGGAGACAGTAGAAGGAAACAGTGCCAGCAGGCCAGTCAAGATACACTGCTACTCTGTTAGCATCAGTGGGCGGAGATGTAGATATGTCTGTTGGTGTGTTATTGTGCCAGGCAGTGTAACTCTGAGTAGAGCAGAACAGACTCCAAGACTGATTGTTCCATCCAATGCAGCAGTCATCCCTGTCTCCTTTCCTCTTGATTCCTCTGTATGTCACTCCTATGTTAACCTTTCCTTCCCACTCTACCTCCCAGTAACAGCGTCCAGTCAGACCTTCGCTACACAGCAGCTGTTTCCAGCCCTCAAATCTCTCTGGATGATCAGGATATGGCTGCTTCTCTTTCACCACCCTCACTCGTCTGTTGTCGTCAGACAGTGAAAGGTTTCTGTCTGCTGTGTTTGGGTCCAGTGAAAACTCACAGAAATCTGATGGAGGAAACAATTCAAATTACAACAAGCTTGTAATTGTCACACTCTGCCGGACAGCCATTCTTTGTGTTGCACTTTTTAGTTAGTATCTTCCTTATAGTATGTTGGGTTTTGGGGGTCTGTCTTGTCTGTCGTCTAGTGTTTGGTAACCCTTGTCATGTCTGTTACCCCAGTTATCCCTCTGCATGTCTGTCTCTGTTTTCCCCTGCTCTCTCTCTCCCTGCCTGTGCCTCATTAGCCTCATGTCTTTCACCTGTGTTGCTCCCGCCCTGCTCGTTAGTCCCTGTGTGTATATATACCTGGTGTTTCTGTCTTGTCTTTGTCGGGTCATTGTATGCTGTCTCCTGGAGTAGCTGTGAGGCCTCCTGTTGGCTGCCTGTTTGTCGTGTCTTGCTGTTACCCTGCTCCCTTTTGATCTCTGTTTGGACTACCTTAGTTTTGGACTCGGTATTCAGCCACTCACCTGTAAGTGTGCTCGTATTTGGTTCGTTCATTAAAACCCCTTTGTACTGTACCTCTTCCTGCCTTGCGTCCTGCATTTGGGTCCTCCAACCTGCCTCACCCACACCAAATCGTGACAGTAATCTAATAAACCTTTTAGGTATGTTGTCAATTTTGGTGTTTGTTAGCATGTGGCTTTATTCTATTTAAAATAAGCTGTCGTCTAACATGTCCGGCTCTCTTTATACTCTATATAACATGGCTTGACAACTTTCCTGCATGAAGCAGCAGACTGAACATTTGTATTGCCTTAATCAAACAGATTTCCCTCTGCATCATTTTTAAGACATCTAGCCCTAGATCCCAAAATTTACTGACTCAATGATCCCAAAACAAAATAACCCTCATCCTTGTCCCCCACCCACCTGCTCTACCTGGGAATCTGGGTACCACTGATTGTTTAGATCCAAGATTGTTACTGTTGGAAATAAACAAAATGGGGATTTGCGTATGGTAAAAGTTTGACATGGAGGACAAGGGGGGTTGTCACACCTGACAGTGCCCAGGTAACACATGAGCATCTACCAGAGGATGGCGATGGATTAAGTGGTTGATGCAAGTTTCCAATGTATCAAGTCATCCCTGCTCTCTCTGTCATGGTAATAGCAGTGGATGAGTTCAATTGTATCTCCACTGATTCCTTTAGCTTGACCAAAGAGCAGGAATCAAGGTCAGATATTTAATGTCACTGTTGGTGGGGACAATAACAAACTCCCAACAAGAGATTTGCTGAGGGTCTGAAATAGTTAGGCAGCGAGACATGTCCCTGCAGTCCCTAAAATATTCTATTACCTTAGCAGGAAGCTTAAAGCGTTAAATCACTACTAGTCATTCTTGTTGTATACCCTTCAGGTACATAAGGATTTAATCAATAATCAGATCCCTCACAATAACAAAGTTTAACTTACACCTGAAGGGTGGTCGCTTCAGTCGACGTTTTCCACAGTGATCAATCCTGTAGAAGAGGAAGAGAAATGTGAATGACAAAAAAGGAAAATTAACACATGTACACATATACAACGGGCATGATGTATATATACAATTATATAATCTACTTTACTTGAGAGTTTCCAGTTTCCACTGTGGGTCATTCAGTCCAGCAGACAGCAGCTTTACTCCTGAGTCTCCTGGATGATTGAAGCTAAGGTCCAGCTCTCTCAGATGAGAGGGGTTAGAGCTCAGAGCTGAAGCCAGAGAAGCGCAGCCTCTCTCTGTGACCAGACAATCTGACAGCCTGCAAACACATACATAAAACTTCATGTTAGAGTTACAACTTCATGTATCAATCATTGTAATATTGAGCTCACTTTTCACACGATGTTCAGTGGCAAATTCTGCATGACTTCAGACTGTGCACCAATCTGCCTGTCAAGTTTTATCACCAAGACAAAAGGAGAGGAATCAAGAAAATATCACCTCGCGCTCACGTTTGAACAAACTAATAAGAGATACCTATAGAAGTCAGATAACTTTACTGAAAAAAAATATATATATAGATATATAAATAGTTTTTAATATATTTAAATGTTAATCTATTCAACAAATACTGACCTGAGAATCTCAAGTCTACAGCGTGGACTCTTAAGTCCAGCTGAGAGCAGCTCTACTCCTTTATCGTGCAGTTCATTGTTACTCAGGTCCAGCTCTCTCAGACTAGAGTTCTTGGAAGTGAAAACTGAGACCAGAGTTTCACAGCTTTTCCATGAGAGGTTACAGCCGTTCAGCCTGAAGAAGAATATGTGATAAAAACAGGTTTAAGAAAATTTCATTTTCTTCTGCTATAGAAAGAATCACAGTTAACGTAAATCCTCCAGTTATCTGTGCACCTACAGAGCTGTTTTGGATGCTTTGACCACTGGCAACAGCCACTGAAGTCCCTCCTCTGAAGCAGAGAATTTCTTCAGGTCAAACTTGTCCAGATCTTTTTGTGATGACAGTAAGATGAAGACGAGCGCTGACCACTGGTAAGGAGCTAGATTGTTGTCAGATAAATGTCCTGATCTCAGGTACTGTTGGATCTCCTCCACTAGAGAATTGTCATCCAGCTCATTCAGACAGTGGAACAGATTGATGCTTCTCTCTGGAGAAGGATTGTGCCTGATCAACTTCTTGATGTACTGCACTAGCATCTTTTTGACTTTTGGTTTACTTCCTGTCTTTTTCAGCAGGCCTTGCAGGAGCATCTGATTGGTCTCCAGTGAAAGGCCCAGAAGGAAGCGGACAAACAAGTCAAGGTGTCCATTTGGACTCTGTAAAGACTTGTCCACCGCACTCTTGTAGAGGTGTTTAAAGATAGATTTACGCCGTGCTGAGGTGAACCGCTTTTTTCTCAGTAGATCCACACCGGTGTTGATGAACGTCAGGAAAACATAGAGTGCAGCCATAAACTCTTGAATGCTCAGGTGGACAAAGCTGAATATCTTGTCCTGGTTCAGCCCACGCTCATCTTTGAAGATTTCTGTGAAAAGTCCTGAGTAGAGTGGGGCAGCTTTTATGTCAATATCGCACTCTTTCAGGTCTGATTCATAGAAAATCAGGTTTCCTTTCTCCAGCTGCTCAAAAGCCAGTTTTCCCAAAGTGAGAACTGTGTTCTGGGTCTCTGTGTTCCAGACATGGCCTGTAACTGTCCTGCTGTCATACTTTACAATCCTCTGTTTGGTCTGAACCACCAGGAAGTGGATGTACATCTCAGTCAGGGTCTTGGGCAGCTCTCCTCCCTCGCTGGTTTTCAGCACCCCCCCAGAACTGCAGCAGAGATCCAGCAGAAGACTGGCATGTGGCACATGATGTGGAGGCTTCGTGATGTCTCGATGTGGGAGATGATTGTGCTGGCCTGCTCCTCATCTCTGAATCTCTTCCTGAAGTACTCCTCCTTCTGTGGGTCACTAAACCCTCTGACCTCTGTCACCATGTCAATGCACTCAGGAGGGATTTGATTGGCTCCAGCAGGTCGTGTGGTTATCCAGAGGCGAGCAGAGGGAAGCAGTTTACCTCTAATGAGGTTTGTAAGCAGCACATCCACTGAAGTCAACTCTGTAACATCAGTCAGGATCTCATTGTTGCGGAAGTCCAGAGGAAGTCGACACTCGTCCAGACCGTCAAAGATGAACAGAACCTGGAACTGTTCAAACCTGCAGATTCCTGCTTCTTTGGTTTCAGGAAAGATGTGATGAAGAAGTTCCACCAAGCTGTAGTTTTTTGCTTTCAACAAATTGAGCTCTCGGAAAGCGAATGGAAAAATAAACTGTATATTGTGGTTGGCTTTGTCTTCAGTCCAGTCCAGGATGTACTTCTGCATTAAGACTGTTTTCCCAATGCCAGCCACTCCCTTTGTCACCAGTGTTCTGACTGGTTCATCTCTTTCAGGCAAAGCTTTAAACATATCCTCACAGCTGATTGTTGTTCCTAAACTTGCACGTTTTTGCGATGCTCCTTCTATCTGCCTGACCTCATGTTGATCATTGACCTCTCTACTGTCTCCCTCTGTGATGTGGAGCTCTGTGTAAATCTGGTTCAGAAGTGTTGGGTTTCCTGCTTTGGCAATCCCCTCAAACAAACACTGAAACTTCTTCTTCAGGTTAGATTTAAGTTTACGTTGGCAAATTGCAGCAGCAGTCTCTGAGGACACAACAGATAACATAAGTCAATGGATGTTGAGGTAAATAGGTGCATTGACAGCACCTTTTGATGAATGCCTTGATTTCTGCCTATCACAAATGCATAATTATTAACTTAATTTGAAATGTTAGTACTGAAATTAAAGTACTCATTTCAATACCATGTTACCAACTTACCAAAAACATATTCATTATACATTTTTCTAATGTAGGGTCACATCTGGATGTCATAGTTCTAATAGATAAATTATACATTTGTAGAATTGGTGTGATATTCTTAATATCATCTTACTGCTCTGCAGAGCGTCAGCCATCTGCTCCTGATTTATTTTCCTCAGGAAGTTCAGTGTGATTGTCAAAAATGCTTCTCTGCTGCTGCTTCTGTGCTCTTCTTCTTCACCACCCCTGACTTCATCATCTTCTCTCAGCTTCTCAGAGCAGTCTGGATATTCTGCACTCAAAAGTTTCTGAAGCTTCTTCAGTTCATTCTTCACATAAGTCCCAATTTCTTGTTCAAGAAGCTAGAAGAGTAAAACATATCACTTAACCCCCTGGAGTCTTCAATCACGCCGGTGTGATCAGGTCACAGTGTGATATCTAAATTTTTACCATTTTATATTCATATTTGCAAGTTTACATTTGCACCCTTCAATATTCTAGATTGAGCAAACATGTTTTAATGTGGTAGGCTAAATAAAGGCAACATCAAAAGTATTTAAAAGCTAGGCTAAAATAGCACAAGACTCCTAAGAGTTAAAATGTTTTTACAATGTTGAAAACATACAACATCATATATGGCTCCTCTAAAAACTGAAAAACATTAAGATAAAACGTGTTTTTACCTAAATCTGTAGCTTAAAATGTTAGACATTTTTATGATATGAAATGTAATTTTTATTAATTATTATTATTATTTGCCATCTGGTGGGAGTATCAAGAATGTGACAGACATCAGCGCAGGCCTCTCAGCCCCATTTACATGTGTAAAACACTACATTATGTAGTGTAATGCAAGATGTATACCTATATTTAGGTTTAAACATCAACACAGTTACTGTTAATAGTTAAATTTGATGGTATTATTTATTATAGTAGTTCTTAGTGAGTTTTTAAATTCTGTAATAATTAAACACTTTTTGGGGGCATTTTTTCTTAATTAGATATCCAATGGTTGCGAGATGAAAGGTAATGAGGGGAGAGACAGATGGAGAATGACCTGCAACAAAGGCCCAGTGTCAGATGCAAACCAGAGATGGTATTCATGGTCTGCACCTTAACCCCAAGGCATCCAGGGACTGTCTCCCTCACAGTGGATGAGACTGTCTCAAACAGGGTTAGGTCTACAAAAGTAGTGGCAAAATGGTGGCAAATGTTAGGCCCTAATCCACAACATATATGCCAAAGTTGTTCAGCATCCCAGAATAATGTTACCGCTGGCGCTGACGGGTAGCAAGAGATCACATGGGAGAGCCTTCTCATATTGTTTGGGGAATGTCAACGTTTAAAAGATCCTACTTTTAAACAATGTGAATATCTTAGCAGCATCAGCACCTTTTATTAAACAAAAACTATTCACCTTTAATATTTATATATTAACAATGGATCACATGACTACTTGTATGTGAATGGGATTGAACAAACAGAGACTGGAGTTCCCCTCAGTTCTATGCTCGGCACCAAACAGCAGACAGACAAGTTAGAGACTAGCTAGTGAACATAATACCTGACTGTTATGACAAAGTGCGAGCAAACAGGTTGAAATATGTGTGATTGACTGTTTGGAAAGTCCCGCACATTCAGACCTGTTTAATGATTTTGAATTAATTTAAAGGCTGCTTTGAGTGAGTTCAATTGCCTTGTGAATTTGTACTTGAGTTGTACAGTGTTGATTTTTTAAGTGAATAAAATTGTAAAATCACAGAACAAATTTTTACAAACGCAAATACAAATTCAAAACATTCAATTCAATTACAGAACACATAAAAAGTATCTTTGCAACATAAGTAGTAAAATGTTGTGCTTTTACATACCGTGAAAATGGAGTCTATTTGATGCTTCTGGACAAGCTGATCACTGACAGCCTGACCTCTGTAGATGCAGAAAACATGAGGTAATTTCAGACAGACACACACACACTTTAAAAGCAGGTATGACACAGGTGTTTGCGTTTGTAAATGAATGTGACAATATTAAATTAGTTAAAGGTATATCAGTGAGGCTTGGAGCTATTCATGTAACCACTAAAAAAACAGATAACTGCTCAGTGAGAACTACGCAAATTTAGTTTCAGATGTTTAATATCCTCGTATTGTGAAGTGAATCTGATTCACTTTACAATACGAGAAGGAAAGAGAAGACGTTTGAGAGAACAAATGACATCTTGAGGGAAAAGCGACACTGTTTTTTCTTAGATTCCAGTTTAGAATAGCTGCATTCTTCAGTCTGCCTGCACTGAGAAATAGTAACACTGTCATTATAAATCCATCAATCATCTTTACCCACTTAGTCTTTGCGGAGGGCTGTAGCACCTCCCAGTTCACACTACAACACAACAACAATGACCTAACCTGCGCGTCTTTCAGTTGTAGGAAGAAGATCCAACAGTTTCAAAAAGAATGTTGTTCGACCGCCAGGTTCCTGCCAGTAACTGACGTCTAAAGCAGTGCAGCTTTTCCTGTAACTCACTGGCATTTCTTTTCCTTCACATTTCCTCAAAGTCACATGAGTTAAGTATTAACTTCAAATTCAGGTTATCAATTGAAGTTAAGTAAATTTCATCATTCTGACTTGGGCCCAGATCTCTTGACCTCTTTGTGCTTGTCAGTAAAGTCACACAATAACAGAATTCTTTTTTAAGAAATGGCCTCCATCCTATAAATCAACACGCTCGTCCATGCGTCATTCCTCAGAAACAATGTGGTCTCTCCTGCTTCACTGGGCTTCAACATAATGTAAACATTCAACATTCAAATTTCAGGTACAATGAAATGATGTTTTCAGTGTGCAGTGCCGAGTAGGCCTTTTCATGTATTTGGGGGTCTAATCTGATGGCCTTTAAGGAGCCAATTGTCACATTCATCTGCTAAAGGTGGAAAGTTTATCTTTTCTCACCTTATTTTGTCACATCATATATGATGAAGAAACTTGAAACCTCCAGGTCAACTACAGGTCAGTGGATTTATACAGTACTTGTGTCTTAAATTCTTACCTTGGCACAACATTCGGCCCTTCATTGTTGAACTCAATAGGTTCGCTTTTAGACCGGTCACTTCTCATGGACACACAGCTGGGAACAGCTGGTCTCTCCTGGTTCACTAGGCTTCAACAGAAACACTCAACATTTAAATTCCAGGTTTAAAATTTAACTTAAATTTCACAAGTCTGTTTGTGATCTCTTAATACATACCGTGGTTGTGGAGTCATTTTTTTGCTTGTATTAAGGCTGTACAGGTTTGTACTTGGTATGTGGTTTCTAGAATAACAGAAATACCAATATAATTAACTATGATAAAACAATACAAACAGTTTTTTACACTGGAAGTTCTATAAAACTTTGTCTACAGGATGTCAATGCAATATCAGATGTACAGTGCTGGACAGTAAAGTCACACAATGACAAACTTCATGTTAAGAAGTAGGCTTGTCCTTGCACCAGTCATTCCTCATGAACAGACTGTTTCTGGTCTCTCCTGCTTCAAAATAACGTAAACATTCAACATTCAAATTTCAGGTACAATTAAATAATATTTTCAGTGTGCGGTGGTGGGTAGTCATGTACTTGGGGGTCCAATCTGATGGCCTTTGAGGAGGCTGTTGTCACATTCATCTGCTAAAGGTGGATAGTTTCTCTTTGCTCACCTTATAACATCATCATATCATGTATCATGTAACATCATATGATGTTTGAAAGCCAATCATAGTCCAACATACAAGCGTTATGAAGAAAGCTGAAACCTACAGGTCAGTGGATTCAAACAGTAAAATGCTTGTACTTTAACTTCTTACCTTGGCACAACATTCGGCCCGTCACTCTTGAACGTAATAGGTTCATTTTTAGAACGGTCACTTCTCATGGACACTGGTCTCTCCTGGTTCATTGGGCTTCAACACAACATAAATATTCAAATTTTAGGTTATGAACTGAACTTAAAGTCCCTCTCTCTTCAGAAATGTGTTTTGCTTATTGCTGTTTCATTATACAAAATGATGTATCTGTATCTATTAAAGGAGTTAATCCTTTATCATACTGAACACTCTCTCATCCTAGATTTACGATACATTCTAACATATTGAACACATAACCTCCTATACAAAGGAGCGGATTGTCTCCTGACACGCTCAGTATACATGATATCTGTGTGAACAGCAAGCCTTCTTAACACTGACTGGAGATCTCTTTACCTCTAAGTGCTGGACAGTAAAGTCACACAATAACAAACTTTAATTTACTTACATTTGCTTATCATTGTCTCCTCCATTGTTGAACCCAAGAGGCTCAGACATAGACCTGTCAGTTTTCATAAACATATGGCTGTCTCCAGATGAGTCTGCACTCTCCAGCTTCACCTGGCTTCAACACAACATAAATAGTAGAGAATGATTTTAGAGGTCAGCTCTGAGATGGTGAACAGTCATAAACAGAAATGTTTATCTTACCTCTTAGCTCTGGTCTGACTGTCATGTTTCTCAGAGAAAGTTACTTTAGAGGTGGGGACCCCGTCCTCTCGCTCCTCAGATACATTCATCGTAGAGTGTAAGCCTTCACAGAAACAAGCTTCACTGATGAGGGCTCCAATAAAATATGTTTTACACAAAGGTTATTGTCACTCCTATCAGCATATATGTCACATACCCTCAAACAGTTACTATGTAGAATAGATTATTACCTGCCAAACTCCCATCCAAGTGAAATTTAAAAAACACTGTAGAGAAACATTAAAACAGACAACACTCCTCATTCTCTGTCCGTTCCTGAGTGTTTCTGATTTATTTCTGTTACATCCTGTAAGATCCCAAACTAGTCTAACCAGTGGCAGAAGACAACATATGTCACATGACATAGTTCTACTGTGTCTCCAATAGATGGTGGTAATTAACCTCTTTTATTCTCCCTCGCATTAAACTGCACCCACACTGTTGTTATGAATTATTGTAAGTATAATAATACATGTGGAAAACCTGATTTAACCTGGTTTAATTACCTAGCTTCCTAATTTTATTGAAGCATTAATCGTTGCAGCTCTATTAGCACTTGGGCTAAGGTTGAGAACAGTAATAAGTACTTTAGTCCTGATGAATAAAGTTAGGAAGCTAGGTAATAAAAACAACAACAAGAACAGTCATTAATATAAATGTATAGAAGACATGAACAGAGCCAGGGGGAGTTTTCATTCAGGACATTTTTCCAATAAAGACAGAATCCAGAGTGAAATTACCACTAAAATATTGAGACAAATCCAGAATCTGCTAGAGTGAGGGCACAGCCAGACAAACTGTCCTATTGTCTCTGGATATATTTTGCAAAATGAGCAATAAACATGTAATAATAAACATATAAAGATAAATATGTGTCCCTTAAGTTTGTGAAGACAGCAGGATAAAACTTAAATAATAAGAGGATAACACAAGCAATTTTAAATGAAACTTCCCTTACCTAATTAGTTAATAAGGAAACTTTATTTTACTTTTATTTTATTTATAAATCAACTTTCACAGACAGGAGTGGTCACAAAGTGCTTTACAATAAAAAATAATAAAAAAATAACAAATAAAATATAAAACCATAAGGCTAGTTAAAAGCTTGTGTTAAAAAATGTGTCTTTAGGAGACTTCCAAAGGTTTCCACATAATCCAAGGCTCTTGGAGCCACTACATAAAAAGATCACTATTTAAGGAGCCACTACACAGAAAGATCACTATTTAAGAAAGTACTCCAGATATTTCCCCAGTTATCAGGGGGAGTACGACCATATCACTCTGATTTTATTCTCTTCACATTGGCTCCCTGTCTGTTTTAGTATTGATTTTAAGTTCTTATTGATTACTTTTAAAGCTCTTAATGGCCTCGCTCCTGAATATATTCGTGACCTCTTAATCCTTTACAATCCTCCAGCAGAGGTCTTCTGTGCATCCCTGTGGCCAGGCTGAAAACTAGAGGAGATAGAGCCTTTGCAGTAAGGGCCCCAAGGCTCTGGAACGACCTGCCCGTTGACATCAGGATGTCGGAGTCGGTATCTTCTTTTAAGTCTCGCCTGAAAACTTATTTATTCAGGAAAGCGTTTTCTGATTTTATCTGATTGGCTAGCCTTTTAATTAATTTCTTTACATTTTAATTTGTGCATGTTATGTCTTACTTATTTGGTGTCTTTTTAACTGTTATGATTTTAATTGTTCTTTATTTTCTGTGAAAGCACTTTGTACTCATATATATAAGTGCTCTACAAATAAAGTTATTATTATTATTATTGTTGTTGTTGTTGTTGTTGTTGTTGTTGTTGTTGTTGTTGTTATTATTATTATTATTATCAGCAAATCCACACTAGTAGGATGCAACAGTAGAGATAGGGGGGACCTCTTGCATGCTGAAACAATGATCCTATTTTAAGATTCTTAGCCACTGAGGTCTTCTTGGGGCCTGGTGATGGTAAACAGACAGGTTTGTCACCCCCTTTTAACAGAGTTGAAATACCAGCAGGAATGACATCGATAACTATGTCAAACTCATTTGGGGTGATATGAATGCCAAAGAAACAAATTCAGAGTTTTCCGTTATTGTTCAGTAGTTGGGTTACTAAAATTATTTTGTTGTTGAACCGGTTTTTAGATTTTTTGTAATATTCCAAATGAAGCATGTGGGTAGAAATTATGTTTGTATATTAAGGACCAAGCTAAGAGCATTTGTTTGTGGAAAACAGATAAGATTAAGGGACATTTATCTAATCTGTAATCAGATGAACATATCCGAGGCAATTGTAAGGAAAATAATTAGGTATAAGTTCCATGTGGAGGTGGGATTGCTTGGAAACTGCTTGATCCAATTTATTTTAAAACTGTACATTATTTTATGTGTTATTAGAAATATAAGTGACGCTAATGCAAACTGTGCCATCCGCAAAAGACCGGACACGCAGAAGCAGATGACCGGATCAGATGACGCGGTCACGTGGTTCAGTCAGCTGATGCTAACGCTAACTAGCCGGACGGTTCTCCTGCAGCAGAGACGGATCTGACGGCCAGACAGGATGCCTTTCTCCGAGCTATATTTTAACGTCGATAACGGCTACCTGGAGGGGCTGGTCAGAGGATTTAAAGCTGGAATACTGTCGCAGGCGGATTATTTAAACCTCGTTCAGTGTGAGACCCTGGAAGGTGAGATCAAGCAGATGCTAGCTCAGGCTATTAGCTAGCAGCCAGGGCTAATTCCACTAGCTAACGAAGAGCTGTCAGTTTCAAAGCTAGTTAGCTTGGTTTACATCAACGGTAATATTCCTTTTAAGTTAGTCGTCCTATTCAGTATTCTGCTTTGTGATAGATATTAAGATTCACGTCAACATGTAATACACATGAAAGGCGACATATCATTTGAGATTTGGTTGTTTAATCTGGCTATCCTCTGAGTCTTAGCTAATGCTAACACAAGCCAAGCAAATGTAGCCAAAGGTTTTGTCCTCTATTGATCAATGATGGGCTTTTTAGAGGAAGTGAGATTACACTAGGAAGATATTTACACTGTTCCGCTAGACACTACAGACTTGGCAAAATTACATGTTTAATTAACGTTAGATTTAGCTCTATTGCACTGACACTCCGCAGTTTTATTATGGTCATTAACGATTAAACTGGCTGCTTGTGAGTTTTCTGGTAAACCTCAATATAACCGAGCTTTTATTGCAGTAAACACTTCTTGTTTTCTTGTGTAGCGAAGCAGAAATGTGAGCAGGGAGTCTTTAAATGTCATATCAACTAGGCCTTCACACCATTTCCCAAACAATACCTCAATAAATCAGAAATCATAAATACTCTCAGGTTAGTAAGTTCTGTATAGCATCAACATCAAAGAGTAAAAAATAAATATGGTGATCAGTCATCCTCTTTAGTTTTATTTTTTGAAGTTACATCGAGTATTTATATTATTGTTGCAGCTATTATGCAGCTGTAAGTGCAGATTCATAGAAACATTCTGCATTACCACACAGCGATAATGTAACTTTATCAAGATTTAAGAAGAAATATTGTTAACTGTGATAGTTTGTTTATTCCAAACTATGATTTCAAGCAGTGTTGAGTATGTACAAGTTGGGGGAGTCAGCATGAACCTCCAATTTGTTACACCATCCCAGTAAAGCTCCTCACTGGCAGGTGAAAAGATGGGGCCATTTATCAAAGAGGTACATGCACATGTCTGTCCACTGTCCTCAACAAGTTAAAGGTGGTGTATGTGATTCTGAAGAAATCCAACACCATGAAAAATACCATGATATAGGGTGAATAACAACAGAGCAAGTAATGTAAGACAAGGCAAGTTTATTTGTACAGCACATTTCAACAATGAGGCAATTCAGAAAAGGGCTTTACATAAAAGATATCTAATTTTTAAAAAGAGTTAAATAGAAAATATAGCAGAAAATCAGAAATGTAACTAACATTAGCTAGCTAGTTGTGGGTTAGCACAGTGTCACTACAGTTGCTGCTGTGAAGCTACACATGCAGAGAGAACGAGATGGTTTCCCAGAGCCAGCACAGCAGCTCCAGACTGCGATACTCACAACTCTGTCCTGCTACCATAGCTAACATCACAACGACAGCAAGTAAGCTGAATGTCTGTGGGCGAGTCATGTAACGTTACCTGACACGCAAATCAGTCAAGTCATGTTCTGAGACACAAAGATTTGTTGATGAGCAGGGAAATTTCAGAATTCATTACTTGTCTTGCAGCTTGATTTTAGGTCTCTTCCACGGTACGTAACACCAACAAGAACAAGTCTTTCTAATCAGCTACTTTCTCTGTCCATGTGTTCCCCCTGCAGATCTGAAGCTCCACCTGCAGAGCACAGACTATGGCAGCTTCCTGGCAAACGAGGCGTCTCCTCTCACCGTGTCCGTTATTGACGACAAGCTGAAGGAGAAGATGGTCGTGGAGTTTCGCCACATGAGGAACCAGTCGTATGAGCCGCTGGCCAGCTTCATGGACTTCATCACGTAAGCAATAAGACTGTAGTGTTGAAATTAGGTTTAACTTAATCTTGAACTGTAACATTCCCTGAAAAGCTGCAATAAATTAATTTTCCACAGTACACATCAGAATTAGACATATTCTGTGGTTTGCCTCTTGTTCCAACACTTCACCAGGGACAGTGAAGCTGCTTGCGAGGGGAAGCGAAGCCTATTTGCCTTTTTTTTTTTTAAATATTAATGTTTCAGATAAATGTCAAAAGCTGTTGAATGAAGACACAAAAAACATGAACAATACTATATATAATGATTCTGAGGCTTAGGGAGTGATGACCAAAACATGCTGTGCCATAAATGTAAAATCACTGTGGAGAGCATCAGAACCATCCAAAATCCTTTCCCCAAATCTAATGGTTTAGTTTAGTTCCTCCCCAGCAGACTGATCTTTGGGTGTTGTTTATTTATTTTCTGCTCTAGTTTTACTATTTCTTTAGAGATATGGTGAAAATAATGGCCCAATATGATGTGAAATTACATTTTTTATTGGAAAATGTAAATTTTTAACTAGTCTAATGTGCATCGCAAGCTCATGGACACAAGAGCAATGCTGCAGAGACACGTTGTGTTGGGGTTTTATATTGAGACATACTATGCACTACGCACACAAATCTTTTTAGCTTGACCTCCACTGCTGCAACTCCATCCTAGGGGAAACACTGTACCCACAAGCCACTGGTTTGTGTTTATTCAGTGCACATTGACAACCGGTTTGGAGAAATGAGATCTAATGCATAAGAGTATATATTCAGTACGGGTGGGAATCACCAGAGGCCCCACGATACGATATTATCGCAATACTTATACACGTTACAATATTATTGCCATTTTAAACATATTGCGATATATTAACTTTTTTCCAACTTCAAATTGTGTCCCCAAAAGAAAACTTTTTTTTCTCGTGGACCGAAAAAGCAATTTTATTAGTGCCAAAAAACAAACTTCTCATGTACAATTTATATAATAAAAGATCGATACTTAACCTCTGTGTATCGATACAGTATTGCCATGGAAAATATCGCGTTACTGTGCTGGATCGATTTTTATCCTCCCACCCCTAATACAGGTGCTGGTCATATAATTAGAATATCATCAAAAAGTTGATTTATTTCAGTAATTCCATTCAAAACGTGAAACTTGGATATTATATTCAATCATTACACACAGACTGATATATTTCAAATGTTTATTCCTTTTAATTTTGATGATTATAACTGACAACTAATGAAAATCCCTAATTCAGTATCTCCGAAAATTAGAATATTACTTAAGACCAATACAAAAAAAGGATTTTTAGAAATGTTGGCCAACTGAAAAGTATGAACATGAAAAGTATGAGCATGTACGGCACTCAATACTTAGTTGGGGCTCCTTTTGCCTGAATTACTGCAGCAATGCGGCGTGGCATGGAGTCCATCAGTCTGTGGCACTGCTCAGGTGTTATGAGAGCCCAGGTTGCTCTGATAGTGGCCTTCAGCTCTTCTGCATCGTTGGGTCTGGCGTATCGCATCTTCCTCTTCACAATACCCCATAGATTTTCTATAGGGTTAAGGTCAGGCGAGTTTGCTGGCCAATTAAGGACAAGGGATACCATGGTCCTTAAACCAGGTACTGGCAGCTTTTGCACTGTGTGCAGGTGCCAAGTCCTGTTGGAAAATGAAATCTGCATCTCCATAAAGTTGGTCAGCAGCCGGAAGCATGAAGTGCTCTAAAACTTCCTGGTAGACGGCTGCGTTGACCTTGGACCTCAGAAAACACAGTGGACCAACACCAGCAGATGACATGGCACCCAAACCATCACTGACTGTGGAAACTTTGCACTGGACTTCAAGCAACGTGGATTCTGTGCCTCTCCTCTCTTCCTCCAGACTCTGGGACCTGGATTTCCAAAGGAAATGCAAAATTTACTTTCATCAGAGAACATAACTTTGGACCACTCAGCAGCAGTCCAGTCCTTTTTGTCTTTAGCCCAGGCGAGACGCTTCTGACGCCGTGTCTTGTTCAAGAGTGGCTTGACACAAGGAATGCGACAACTGAAACCCATGTCTTGCATACGTCTGTGCGTGGTGGTTCTTGAAGCACTGACTCCAGCTGCAGTCCACTCTTTGTGAATCTCCCCCACATTTTTGAATGGGTTTTGTTTCACAATCCTCTCCAGGGTGCGGTTATCCCTATTGCTTGGACACTTTTTTTTCTACCACATCTTTTCCTTCCCTTCGCCTCTCTTGGACACAGAGCTCTGTGAACAGCCAGCCTCTTTAGCAATGACCTTTTGTGTCTTGCCCTTCTTGTGCAACCTGTCAATGGTCGTCAAGTCAGCAGTCTTCCCCATGATTGTGTAGCCTACAGAACTAGACTGAGAGACCATTTAAAGGCCTTTGCAGGTGTTTTGAGTTAATTAGCTGATTAGAGTGTGGCACCAGGTGTCTTCAATATTGAACCTTTTCACAATATTCTAATTTTCTGAGATACTGATGTTGGAGTTTTCATTAGTTGTCAGTTAAAATCATCAAAATTAAAAGGAATGAACACTTGAACTATATCAGTCATAATCACATTATACAAGTTTCACTTTTTGTGAATGGCATTACTGAAATAAATCAACTTTTTGATGATATTCTAATAATATGACCAGCACCTGTATTCAGTCCCCTTTTTTTTCTTTATCAGAGTTCTGTTATCTTTTGGTGCTACAGCTGCTAGCAGGGGCTGTTTGGCGAACTCATTGGTGCATTCAAGTATGCTCTGAAATCTGAGAACCGATCGTCACTTGCTGAAAGCAACCCATTGATGAGTTACTTTTTTGGAAAAAAACAAAAGACCAAAAACAGATACGAATATCTTTAAAATGATTTTATTGCTTGCAAAAAAATGTTGGTGTCCAGAATTCTGTGATTGTCCTTAAATGCAATTAATGTGCCTACAAATGCATAACTATGCATTTGACACTGAAATAAAGGGGAGTAAATGTTCATAGATCTGTTTCATGTCTCAGGAGCTTGTTTTTTATTCTGTACTAAAATGGAAGGTTGGAAATAAATGTAAAACATACATTTACATGTTATATGTTGTGATTTTATAAGTTTACAGTAATGGAAAAAAACAAGTACTATTAATGGGCTAAAACTTGCTGTAGGACCTAAATTATTTTTTGACCAAAACCCAAAAGGGGAAATAGTAAAAAATAAATAAATAAAGGCTTCTCAGACTGATGCTGCTATGAGATGGATAGCAATGGCTTCTCTGCTCATGACAACCCATGTCCACCTGTCTTTTGACTTCAGGTACAGCTATATGATTGATAACGTCATCCTGCTGATCACGGGCACCCTCCATCAGCGGGCCATCTCTGAGCTGGTGCCAAAGTGTCACCCGTTGGGCAGCTTCGAGCAGATGGAGGCGGTCAACATCGCCCAGACCCCCGCCGAACTGTACAACGCCATCCTGGTGGACACGCCCCTGGGTGTGTACCTCCTTATAAACTGCTATTTAAACAAAGGAGGATGTAAAAACTGAATAGTATGTCTCGTGCAGAACAGGAGATGGCAGCAAAGCTTAAAGAAACATTCAACACTCCTTTCTGTTGGTTTGGTGTAAATTCTCTTTTCTTTTCAGCTGCATTCTTCCAGGACTGCATATCTGAGCAGGACTTGGATGAGATGAACATTGAAATAATTCGTAACACGCTTTACAAGGTAAAGCATGTTATAATTATGATCATAGCAATAATGTAGGTGTGTGCTTACGTGATTAAAAATGAGAATGGACTGAAACAAAAAATGTAATAAAGAGAAATTAGATCAATAGTCAGCAGGCTAAAATCAGAAGAGAACTCAACAATTGCAAATATTTTATTATAATTGATCATTCAATTTTCACTATAAAATAATTTTAATCAAGAACAGCAATGATTTGTTTATTCATGTTTTCTGCTTAAAAAAACATTTTGAACCATGTCATCTCAGGCTTACCTGGAGGCTTTCTATAAGTTCTGCTCCAACCTCGGAGGAACCACGGCTGACACCATGTGTCCTATTCTAGAGGTGAGTTTCTGCTTTATTTAAAGAAAACAAACACACACACAGAAGTTCTGCCACAGAACAGATAAGGATGTCACTGATGCCTCCACTGGTTCGCTGCTTAAGAAAGATGATACGTTTGTCACATTCAAGCCCTATAAATTTGCATTTTGTACAAAAACAAATACATTACCTGTCAACACAGTATGGTTTATTATATTGTCTTGAAGAGGGTTTAGTGAGAATGTGTGTGTACATGAAAATGAAAATGTTTATGTTGACTCTAAGTGTGGCTATAAACATGCTCAGACTTTTTGGCTTTGAAATAAAGTTTCCGCTCAGTCACTTGTTGCTCCAATGACCTTTCTGTCTCTGCTGCAGTTTGAGGCAGACAGGAGAGCCTTCATCATCACCATCAACTCGTTTGGCACAGAGTTGTCCAAGGAAGACCGCGCCAAGCTCTTCCCCCACTGCGGCAAGCTTTACCCAGAAGGCCTTGCTCAGCTGGCCCGGGCAGATGACTACGAGCAAGTCAAGGCCGTCGCTGATTTCTATCCTGTAAGTCCAAAAGCCTGCAAGGGTTACTGTAGCTTTTAAATATAAATGTAATCATTGAAATGTTAACTTGTCTTTCTGATCCCTCTGAATTTGCATGCAAAGCTAAGGCAAATGCAGTCGGCCTACTTGCCAAATTTAGTGCGTGACTGTAATTTGAAGAGGTTTTTTAAAGGTTTTAAAGTCAGCTGAGTTTTGACTCGTTCCCTTGTGTCTCTCAAATTCCATGTTTTTAAGTCTCCTGTTGGTGTCTGTTACAGAAACACATTGTTTTAATAATCACTATCACTATATGTCTGACTCATTTCCTCAGGAGTACAAGCTGCTGTTCGAAGGTGCTGGCAGCAACCCAGGCGACAAAACACTGGAGGACCGTTTCTTTGAGCATGAGGTGACATGATCAACTTAAACTTATTCCTAGTAGAGAAGCAACGTATGTGTCTTACACCTTACGAGCCCGGAGTCTGGCTGCACTCCGGCTCATTCATAGCTCCATCTAGGTTTCACTGTCCACTGGTTTGCTAACTACAAACATGAAAAACATTAGCCGTGAATGTGTGAAGAAAAAAAAGTCAGAAACTAGAGATGCCAACGATCGATCTTCACGTGTATGGAATTGGCCATGACCGGAGCTGGGGGGGCAGATCACACATCAAATTTACATGCATGCTGCGCTTCACAGTGTGTCAGTCAATTAGTAGTGGGCTTGTCATTATCAGCTTTGTGGTGTTTGTACACTCAGTCTCTTCCTCCTTCCTAATTCCAGGTGAAGCTGAACAAGCTGGCCTTCCTCAACCAGTTCCACTTCAGTGTTTTCTACGCCTACGTCAAGCTGAAGGAGCAAGAGTGCAGGAACATTGTCTGGATCGCAGAGTGCATCGCCCAGCGGCACCGCGCCAAGATTGATAACTACATTCCCATCTTTTGAGCCTCCTCTTCCTCTGTCCGTCCCTCCCCTTCATGCCTTCATTTCATTCAGTCTTATGTCTTGAACAGTGTCTCCGGTCTCACCTCGGTGTTAAAGATTCTGATGGTTTGATGCAAAATTTTCCTCATTCTTCACTCGTAGGTGTTAAATTGGTTCCCAACACCAGAGGTTATTGTTGTAATGAGAGTTCCAGCCTGGCTTATTATTGCCTAGAAAGTAAAACACATAATTTACTTAAATCAAGTCTTTATTTGGAGAAGAATGACATGTGCCTGGCCCCACAGAGGTGGTTGGTGTCTGGTATCTGCTCACCAGGCAAAGGAGGCAGCTCATTTGACTTCCAAATACATATGATTGTCTAAACTTTCTGAAGTGTGTGTTGTGTTTGGGGGCACGCTATGCCCACTGAACACATGCTGGTAAAATACACCAGATTAAGAATTTGCAAGTCCAGGCACATACAAGCCCTGACAGTGGTGAAGCATTTTTTTTTTTATTTTACCATGAACTCCCAACACAGCAAGCAAATAATCTTTTTCAGATCGTTAATCTGCAGGCACATGCAACACTCAAGTGTGCACTATACTGTATGTTTTGGATTTAATGCCGTACCCAAAGTTAATGTCCAAAATCTGAACCTAAACCTCAGAACTTCAGCCAGTCCAGAAGAAAGCGGACACGAAAAGGTTCCTCTGCTCAGCGTCAGTCTCCACCAGGTTCTATATAACCTGTATTTATTTCTGTTTTAGTGCTAGGTTTTCTCAGCATGTCTGGTCATTACTGTGGTTTTCCCCAAAAACTAACGAGTAAAATGTGTGAGCCCCAACTGATTTGTTGTCTCAACTAGATTATTGTTAGATATTAAAAATACAAGGCTTTGAACAGGAGCTGCGAGTCCTCACCGTCCCTGTTGCTGTGTGAGTTTCTGTGAATGAACGTACTGGAATGAGGCAAAATCTTGTGAGTATATGACAGACTTAATGTTTAAAGTATACAAATATATATAGATATTTAAAGATGACTATATGATTTTGTTTTTCATGCTGTAAAAATTGATTTATTGCCGTATGAATCTGTTTCTTACTTGTGAAATGTGTATTGTAAATGTGACAAAAAAATAAACTAAACTGCACTAACGCAGGGCTAGAAAAATCTAAGGGACTCCTCAAATGGCTTTGACATTTTTTGTTTAGTATGTGCAGGTGACAGATGTAGAAAAGGAAGTACGAAATCAGTCTGCCAAAGAGTAAAGCTAGGAATTATATAGTGTAGTGTGTGCTTGTAGAGGGAGGTTTTGTATTTGTTTGCTAATAAGAAGGAGTGATTTCATTAATGAAATGTCATCCAAGTATCGTAGACTCTACAGCCATGCTAGTGGCTCTGCCAGGCTAGGCACAGTGGTGCTTTTAGCTACAGTCCTGATGCCAGCTGGGGCTGATGGGGATGGCATTTGTTTTGCAGGTATGGAGATACTTCAGTCTGAACCAGAGTGTGGGACTGACTAAAATTACTCTACCTAGGTTGCTAGCATGACTTAATAAATTATAAGCCTTAAATTAGAAACTTTTCTGGTCACACAGGAAAACAAAACAGACGCTAGTGGTTATCAGGGTCTTGCTGGACAATGTTTTAAGGCTAGTCAGAGCAGAACCTCCCCAATAGCAGTTTCTAAGTGTGTCTCAAAATGTTCCCTCTAAATATAAAGGTATTCAGGATAAAAGGGTTTATGTTCTCAATGGTTCACAAAATGAACTTCATTTTTTGTAAGTTAATTTATTTAAAAGAAGTCAAGGTCCACTTACTTTAATTGCATGTCTCTGTCTTCCTCAGAAGAGGTTTGCGTAGTTGTCCTCACCTTGACAATATTAGTATGGAACATTGATCACAACAGATGGGTTTATTTAATCAATCAAACTCAGTGCAGTTTCAGCACCTAATGTAGAAATAAAATGATTACATTTAATCTATGAAACAAAATCAGATTTGTTAAATTCAAATATTTGGTAACTACAGGCGCAAATGAAGGATTGAGCACAGCTTCTTCTCTTAGGGTTTAATTGAGTCCAATCAGGCTGTTCAGCTCCAGCTGTTGAATCACCAGCCTGCAGGGCTGTCAGTAAACCTCTTTCTCTTATCAAAGAGCATCTGAAAAACAAAAGGGAACAAACCTATTAAAACTCACTGAACCATGACTTTACAGCTTAAAACCAAAGCTCGACACTTTAACCTGCACTGTTCTGTAGGCCTTACGGACTGGGACATGGACAAGGAGCTGAAACTGGCAACAACCACAGACCAGTTTTACCATGGTGACTGTTTTTCTTTGTTCTGTGGTGTTTGGCTTCACAGGTTAAAAAGTGATTGTTATTCACTTCCTTTCATTCCAAACTGCACAGAAATCAATGGAGGACTCAATTTATGTTAAAACTTGGGGAACCAAGTTATATTTATTAGTATCACATTACATTTTGGAAACTGAATGGAGTCTGAAGGTCTGCTTACTGATTTTAAAGTGCAAAATGTGCTGTCATTGTCTAATGTTGAGTGTCATTGTGTTAATCTATCACTGGTGACAGATGACAAACTGAATGATCAATACGTGGTCCAGAGGCCATCGGTAAGAGCCTCAAGAAGAAAAGATGAATTCATTTGGTACGATAAAACGTCAGGTGAGCTGTACAGAACCTGCCATCTGTCTGTGGACTGACCTGCTAATTCAGCAACAACTTGTCTGGTTGAGCTTTGCATGATTTACTTCTGACAGCTTTGTACTTTTTTTTTTTTTTTTTCCCCCCTCTTTTTGTCCACATTTATATTTTCAAACCCTTTTAATACACACTTGAATGTCATTCTAAAATTATATTAAAAATATCCTGTAAAGTTTCAGTGTTTCTCACCACAATGGATTGTGTGGCTGCAGCCAAGAGATTACTAACTTAGCTAATGTATTTTTTGTTTCTTACATAATCTGAGCAAGCAAACATCTTAATTAGAACCACTGGAACACTTTTTTTTAATTTATTTATATCTTTGGGCAGAGCCAGTAGGTTCTGCGAAGATACACCTGCCGTTGATTGTCTTTTTCAGAAAAGCAAAAAGTTGTTTTGTCTGTTGCTGCCATTAGGCTTATGTCCTTGCCAAATTGCTGTAGCAACTTAAATGTCTGCCATGATTTTTCTGTCCCATCAGACACCTTTGTAAAGCCAAACCTGTGGCTGTTAGTGAATCCCAATATTGCCTGCCCGATCCAGTTTGCAGAAGCTGCAGCAGATGTGCAGACGCTTTGCAAACCTGCTAAACAAATCCAAACACCCCTCCTGGACCCTGCGAAGACCCAACATCAACTTAGCACAGAGGATGCTCCCTTCAAGGAGGAACTGCCTCACTCAGTTTCCTCCTCCACTGAGTATATGGTAACATGAATTACACCAACAATCACTCTTAACAGTAAATGTGAGTGGGTGTGGTGACATGCTTTATTTTACACTCGCTGTTAAAACCCTTTAACAGTACATATTGTGCAACCAGTCTTAAAGCTTCCTTGTGGAGTTTTTGACCTCTAGGAGCGCTATAGAGCTGTATTTCTATGAAAGTTTTTGGTCAGAGCACATGTGTGAGGACATGCATGGACTCGCAGTCCTACTAATGGTCTTAACTATTCCATTTATCTACAGGTGCGGGTAATGCCAAAAGATGCGTAGCAATGCATCAGTGATATTCATAACATCTTAATTGGACCCCATTTACTCCTAATAGACAATCTGTATCTGGAAAATTGCATCTGATCACATGCTTTTGCATTTGGTATTTATAAAGGGCTCATAGATAACGTCTGCAGTTCAGCTTGACATAACAGGAAGATGCAGAGGTGGACTTTCCAACCGGCTGGGCAGATTGTTCTGCTATTTACACCTGCCTGAAATCACAATACAAACCTGGCTTTCCCATTGTAATTATCCATTTACACCTGCATTAACTTGTTATTCTTAAATAGATGTAAGCTCCAAATACCAACAACAAATTAATACCAGGTGTAAATATGTTCTTGTACCGAGTAACGTGTAGTTCTCCGACATGCTTTTAAAAAAAATCCAGGATAACAGCACAAACACTATGAAAGGATTCAATGCACTGATTCAAATTTGTGTGTAATGTAAGCTCACAATCCTTGACTTGATTAGATCAAGAATGAAGACGTCTCCTGTCGACCAGCCAAGAACAGACGGAAGGGAAGGACCATGAAGGCCAGGGTAAGAACACTAGACCTGAATGTGGGGAGCTCTCTAATTACTTCTTTAAAAGCTGTAAACAGATCATCTTACTATATATATAATTTTATTATATGAGAGATGGGGTTTTACATGAAGATAAGCAATTTGTTATTTCTTATAGATTTCTTTTTGTTTGCTCTCCATATGTGTGTTTTTGTTTTATTTTTAAAGTGGAAAGTTATAAGGTTTAAGTAGTAAGTTAAGGTAATGACGCCTATTTCTGTGCATCAATCAGCATTTGGTGATATTTGGATCAAAGTGTGAAGACAGTTGTGGGATGTTGCCTGTACTGTCATCAAATCTGATCAAACACCCTGACAGACGTGATAAAGCAAATTGGCTTGAGTAAAACTTAATACGTAATGATGTCAAATTTGTTTGGCTGTTGCCTTTTTAAGCATGCATATTTAATGCTATCAACAAAATCTTAAGGTTTGATAGCAAGGTTTAGGGGGCTATAGAAATGAATACATTGTACTGATCATGCCCTGTAAGTTTGCGCTCAAGTGTGGTGTATATGTAGGTTTCTTCCAGGTGCTCTGGAAATGTTTAAATAAACTGCATCAGCACCAATAGTTAGTTTCTATCTGCCTCCAGGACAGTAAGACTCTGAAGCCAGGATGCTGGCCTCGTCCACCAGTGAATTACTGCATTCTCATCGCCTTGGCGCTCAAGAGTAGCCATACTGGGAGCCTCAAAGTCCAGCAGATTTACCACTTCACCAGGTCAGAATTTGTTTGCTAAAACACATTACAGGTTTATGTAAAGATTGAAGGTCCTATCCCCTGAGATTATGAGACATACACGTACATTCTGTTCAGTAATTGCATGGCACGCATTCGGACATTTTTTGTTGGTGCTGGAAGGCAAAAAATAGTATCTTCCAAAATGTCAGACTGATCTTTTAGATCTCTATTGGGCCTGTGTGCAATTTCTAATGGTACAGTTGCATTGGAGCAACATGTTGCACCCCAGCTTGTTTTGGAGTATTAACCTCCGTCATTCCTTTCTGTCCTTTCCCAGAGAGCACTTCCCCTTCTTTCAAACGGCTCCAGAGGGTTGGAAGAACACCATCCGACACAACCTGTGCTTCAACAACAGCTTCCGCAAAACTTGCAACCAGCTGTTAAAAGATGGCAAGAGAAAGTCGTGTTTTTGGCACCTGACTCTGGACGGCCAACGCCGGCTAAAGGATGAGATCTGCACTTTGACAGAAGAATCCTTCAAGCAGCTGGAGAGGAGCATGTCCAACCCAGGTGACTGTGATAAAACATTAATCTGAGGAAATGAGTTAAACACTGTGATCCTCCTTTACTGACCAGACTAATCACCACAACCTTTAACTTTAGCTCTCACTGCTACATTAACTTAATGCTGTACCCTAATGTGAGGGGAATTAAGAATATCTCGATTGCTGACTTAGATTTTCATCAGTGTGCAGCAGCAACACACTTAAAACAAAAAAACACTTAGTCCTTTGGAAAACTTTGGGATGATAATCTGTAATAAAGATTTTAGCTTACATGAGTTAAATCTTAAGACTTAAGTGAGTTGCTTCATTTATTACTGATGACTTTTCTTTTTGTTTCAGATGTTATTCGGAGTTTACTCGCACTGTGATTGCAGTTACTAAAGGTATCTGTTAAACTATATGCATAGTTTTTTTTTTTTTTTTTTTCTATTGTGCTGCATATTTCTTATGAACGTATTGTATTTAATTATTGTAAATGTTTGGAGATTCCTAAAGGATTTTGATTTACATATTGTAAAGAAAAGTAACGTGAGGAAATTTGCACAATGTCACCAGTTAAATCACTAAATAAATACTACTTTTGTGTATACAAAGTCTGAGTGTCCGATCACGTGTTCATACATTTCTGTGCCTTTCAAAACCATTACAAATAACAGTGAAAAAACGTTGCGCTGTGGTTCTACAGCCCTGTCCACTTCCTTATGTAAAGGTCTATCTCCTCCATGCTCTTGAGACTGTGCTAGGAGACTCCTTGGCTGCGGTCAAAGTCTTTTTATCTTATTTATTTTTTTGCTTGGGAAGGTTTCTAACTGAAGTGAACCAGAAGTATTTCTGTGGCAGCCATGATAAGAGCTGGTCACATTAAACTAACTCTAAAAGCTAAGGAAAGGTGCTTCGATGCTTCCTTTCATATCTCCTTTACGATAAAATCCATTGACCACATTTAGCAAAATCCTTGCAGTACAGATGATATACTTGAATAAGATGTTCACAATTTCTTTCCTCCTGGTTTGTTTTCTTGTGGCTTTGCTGTAATCTAATGCTGTTACAACACAATTTTATGTCTCAGATTGTTGTCGAAGTGTTAGAATTTTCTGCAAAAACTATGCCATAACCGAGACCCATGTGAGCTGTTACTAGTAAAATGATCGTGCCCCCCCCCCAGTGTCTACATACAATATTTGGGACTCATGTTGATAAATATGGGTTGGCAGGAGGTACCTATGCCTTTTTAGCTGTCTTGATTATATTTCAGTGTTGTCTACCTTTTTAGGTGGGTAGATTGATTGCGACAGCTGGTATGGATGTGCCGTACTGGAGGAGCTGAACAACATGTGCAACCTGAATGGGTTGCAGGTACCGCCTCAGGCTACCAGTAGTGACAAGGACACTAGCAAAAGGCAAAATTGGAGAACAATCGGTCAGGAAGGATAAGAGGAGAGAGCAATACATTTGTGGCCACCACGTGCAAACCATTCTCTTTTTAGCGGTTGTCTTACTGTTGCCTCTTCAGAGCACCTGTTTTCACTTTCATTTGCACCAAAACAGATGACGTTGATTCACAATCGCTTATCCTTCCTAACTGGACAGATTGACATCCATGAAGTTAAACTGACTTGATGTTATACTGTGATGATTTAGTGTTCCTTTTATTTCTATTAAGCAGTGTATATTTTTCAGTTCGGTAGGTAAATCTCGCTTCATTTGCCAACAGTCAAATAAAAGCTTTCTGGATGGCTCGCAGGGAGTTGATAGTTTGAGTGTGTTTGCTAGTCAAATGATTGTCTTGATGTGTGGAGCTCAAAGTAGTGAGATGTTAAGCTGGATTTTAGCGGCTCCTCAAGCAGCTCCGGGTGTTTTTCACTGAGCACACTGCAGCATAAGACAGCAAAACAATGCATCAGGACAGGTAAGTACACACAACATCAACACTGACGCTGCCACTCAGTCGACTGATTTTAAAGGGGTTGATAAAGTTTTTAGTTTAATCTCCAGTATTGGATTTTCATGGTCCTTCTGAGCCATTTATTTTTAGTAAAAAGTGTCATGTCTGGCATAAAAGCATTCCTTAACGCGGGCTGTAGTCTTTAATCTGCCTATTGTTGATGTCTGTGACCGCATTCATCTGCAGAGCAATAAAAAAGTAAAATTGTTTATTACAACACACAATAGCACAGCATGGTTCAATATGATGCTTTAATGTCTGTACAACAGAATACTGATGACGAACACTGGCACCTCTGGACTTTTCCTCCTCCTCCTCAGTAGTACTGTGTCTGGACTGGGCTCAGTGGTGGTGAGAAATTACCAGTACATCAACATGTCTAAAACCTGGCAAGAGGCTCAAAGCTTCTGCAGGTGGGTTTTACTTTTAATTCCTATCATTTATAGCTGTTAAAAGTTAGATTGTAGTTACAATTATACACAATGAGGACTGACTGTATCATTGGAAATTACACTTGTCTTATCACATTCACCTGAAAGGTGAAATAAAGCTACAGTGTCAAATCTGCCTCACTCAGTGGCACCTGTATAAACCTAAAGAGTTTCACTTCATCAGAACAAGACGAGTAATCCCGATGTTTAGCAGGTAGCATTTGCCACATTGGCATGCTTTACTTAATGGCAAAAGGTACTGATGAAGCTAATGGGATGTTCTCAGTTTAGCAGATATTTGCCTATAAACCAAAGTATTGGACAAAATGAAGTTCTTAGTTAAGTTACTACAATTTATCTTGAGGAAAACATAAGTGCGTGTATCAAATTGCATTATCTATCTAATGTCCAAACATTTCATTTAAAACCATTAATGACAATTGTGACGTATCACTTTGCAAATAAGCTTTTATTTTTAATTTTTTTGTCTTGTCCAAGCAGAGCATATTACACCGACTTGGCCACCATCTACACGCAATCAGATGTAGACAGTTGGAACTTGAAGGGTTATTATGCATGGATCAGCCTCTACAGAAATAGACCTGGCCTATACTGGTTATGGACTAATGGACAAGTTGATGACCAAGTTTTCTGGGCAGACGACGAGCCACGAGCTGATGAAAGTTGTGCTTACGTCATTTACAACAGCAAACAGTAATGGGAGATTGTTCTTACACTGTTCTAAGTACTTTAAAGTGTTTTTTGTTTGTTGTTTTTTTTTGTTTTTTTACATATAAGCAATTAATGATGTGTATTTAATAACATTATTTTTTTTTATATAGCACCTAGCATACATTCAATATTCTGAGTGTTCCTCTTCTACTAATTACAAAGGTGTATGTTAATTCCATTGTTCTCTGTAACTTGCAGCTTTTCTGTATTTGAAGTGTGTTTCTTAATGTTGGCTATGTGTTGTCAAATTGGGTGCATGTGTTTCTAAATTTGCTTGTCTTATGTCTATTTGCATGTGTTTTCATTAGCTACAGTGCACTCAACTCGCTCTGCCACCACGGGATTGATTATTTGATTTGGAAAGTGGTCAGCAGTAGTGCAAGCTTTTGTTTTTTGCAGTAAATAGGCTAAAACATTTTTAAAAAACTGTTTCCTTAATATGGCAAACACATATAAACATTATATATAGTAAGAATAATATGAATGTGTATTTTTCACATTTATGCATTAAATTCTTCCTCTTTTTCATTTTTTTCGTTTCTCTTGAAAGGTTTTATGGCGCCAATTGTGCACGATCTTTCTTCTTCTTCTGTAAGACAGGCAACAATTCCCTATTTATACCACAGTCGAAGATATGGTCTGACGCCCAACAGTACTGCGAGGATAATTACGATGGTCTGGCAACTCCCTACAGCTTGAACGCAGCTGTCATTCCGAATGACTTTCCAGTCTGGATTGGTCTGCACAGAAATGGTAAAGACAAACACAAGTGTATGATATATATTTTGTGAACTACACTGCTGTAATGCTATAATGCTAATAACCACCTTGTATCTCTTGAAACAAACAGAAGGGCAAAAAAACCCATCCCTGGGTGTTCTTTCCTATTTTCTTGTTCTTAATATTCCTGTCTTTAGCCATGAAACTAATAATGGGATCTGACAAACAGGAAACAGACTTTCACCTCCTCTGTGATGATTGCGTTTCAACCTACATTTTTCAGGGGAAACATGGACGTGGGGCACAGGCTTGTCAGAGTACAGAAATTGGACATCAGGGGAGCCAGGGAACAACAGCGACTGTGTTTCCATCTCCTCTTTGACAAAAGAGATGGCCACCCAAAACTGCTCTGCCCAGTTTCCTTTTGTCTGCTTCAAGGACAACCTGGTCCTGGTAAAGGAGAACAAGACCTGGGAGGAGGCACTTGAATACTGCCGAGCCCTCACGTCAAGCAACCCATACAACAGTGACCTGGTCAGCGTGCAGCCTGGAGAAGACCACAACGATGTGATGTACAGGGCCGCGGAGGCCGTCACTGAGAAGGTGGGTTAAAATTCAGTGACACGTAAGAAATGTTGACATGAGAGCTGTTTTAAAGGTGCTATGTGTTAAGGTGGGATTTCTACATCAACCACTGCTCTGCGGTGCAAATTTAGAGGCAAATCTGAATTGCTTTAAAGCAACAAAACAAAACGGGAAGACACTGCTCTGTTTCCAGAGCTAAATAGCCGTGTCCAAAATATTTCACTAGTGCACTATATTTACTATCTGGCCTTTGATGTGTATGAAAAGTACAGTCATGCAATATTACACCTACCATTAGTGATGCAATTACAATACACGTCTCACAATACAGAGTAAAATATTATGTTTTATTATGTAAGCAATAGTACATGGGTAAATGAGGGAATGCTATCAGACTCAACAAACAAATAAAATCTCACTTATGCCTAAACTAACCCTTATTAGAGGTGGTTAAATGGTTCACAACTTTAAATCGATCAGCTTTCATTATTGATATGATATGAAAGTTAAAGGGGGGGCGAGGCTTAGTTAACAGTGCAATAGTAATAGCCTACCTCCCGGTTCGCTTTCTGCAGCTACCAGCAGACGAGACCCATGTGACGAGGTGAGCTAGACATATTTCCCTACCACTATAAAAACTTTCTACGCTTAAGTTTCAAAAATTTACATTTCTCAAACAATATAAACATTAGAGTGACTTAAAAGAGCCAAGCCTGCATTATGCAATAGTTATTTAATATATATATTTAAAGCTGTTAGACTAATAGTCTAGTACTCAACCTCTCACAGTTCTTCAAAAAGAATGAGACTGGCTGGGATTCAAGCTGATTGTTGGGAATGATGTTCCCTCCCCAACCCTTCAGCTGCACTCAAAATCACTCCAGAGAGGCAAGGTGCCCCCAAGACGGTTAGTCAGTTGTACAGATTGAAGGAAAACGAATCTCTCTTACATTTACAGACATTTAGAGTTTCCAGTCATACAAACCAGCATGTTTGTGAACTGTGCGAGGACA